GGGATGCACAAAAATCCTCCAGAAATGTGGGAGGATAATTCTGGAGAGCAGGAAAATCATCACAAAAAGAGCTGGACCACTGGAAGCACCCCCAGGCAGGACAGTGACTCCCATGTCACTCTGAGGACACAACCCAGCCYAGGAATGTTTAACCAAACCAGCCCTTTCTCCTCTTAAACTCAGCTCCTGCCACAAGCCCTGTGCCAGGCTGGCATCTGGGCTTGKTTAGTCTGGGCCTAAATCTTTCCAGCACCAGAATTTGGGCTGGGGCTCCTCAGGGAGYCTCCCCGAGGTTTGCTGCACCATCAATGTCTCTGTTTAACACAAAAAGGACAAAGCTCTTGGGGCAGGGACTTTGTAAAACAACAATTTGCCATTCGACAGTTTCATAAAGCCAGGGCTCCCTCCCAAGCCCAGAGCACAGCTTAAGCAATTCAAGTTGACAGCTCCAACTGCAGATTTTTTCAGCATTAGAAATATTTCAGATCAACCCCATCTTGCCTCTAAAAAGTTCCCCAGGACACGGGCAGGACTTCTGGCTGGACAGACAATGCCCCATCCGAGTGCAGTTCGGGTGACAGACGAAGGGAACGACACCAAGTGACCTCGATTCCCGTGCCGATAGAATCAAATCGGGAAAATAACCCCAGGGAAATCTCATCACAGATCAGCTGGAAAGCACTTCCCCCCCTCTGCAAGAATCCCACCCTTCCTGCTCTACAYTTCTCAATAACTTCAACAACAACAAAGAAAGTCAAGTCTTTCCTTACTCTGAAAGGCAACAGGAATGGGTTTTGTTTTGTTTTTAAAGACAGGCTGGGTGTGGACAGCAATTCTCTTCCCTCCTATAGGAAAAACAAGAGCAGATGAAGATTGGGAATCCTCCTCACCAGTTCCAGAGGATCCCAAATCCACACATGAACCACACGTGGAGCACTCCAGACACTACCAKAGCTACACTGACCTACACAGCTCAAATCTGTGATTGTGCCCTAAATGTGATGGTCCTTCAGCCTCCCCTTCCCACCAGGAGATTGATCCCAGTCTTTCCATGGAGCCAGCCCCTCTCCGGCCCCATAGGGAATTGTTTCACCACAACACACAACTCTGGCAAATTCTGTTTTCTGATTTCCCCCTTTTAACCAGGGAAAGGCCACCAAGGTGCACCGAGTGCATTCAGAGGTGCCCTCCAGGCAGGAGGGAGCACTGGGATATCCCTTTCCATGGATTTTTGGGAGAGCAGAGCTCAGCCACATCAAGGCTGGGGCTCCAAAAGGACCCCTGAGCATTTGCAAGCTCAAAAGGGATAAATCAGCTCCCAGTTATCCTACAGAGTGCACCTTCCAACAGGAAAATTAGTGGGTAAAATTAAAAGAGTTGCATTTGTACATCAGGATTTTTAACAGCTCAAGAAGTTTTACAAGGAAAATAAAACCAAACAGCCTCTCTTGGGATCTTCATCAAGGCTAAAAGTCTGTCCAGTTTGGGGATTGGGAAATGGGAACAAATCAAGGGAAAGGCGACTTTAGTGTTTTTTCTTTTTAATGTAGTCTTAAATCATGTTATGCTCAAATTCAATTCATCTAAAAATAATTAGTCACGAGGATTTGTTTTTGATTTGCATTATGAATACTTCATTTAAAAGTAAATATTTTAGTGTTAATCTTCCCTTTTAAACTCTCTTTACAGAAACAAAGAGCTAAAACCATAAATAAGAGGGCATTAAAACCATAAAAATGACATTTGCCAATATCTTAATTTTTCAGCCAGACTTGATAAATCTATCAAAACCAGACAGTTAAATAAGAACCACATTATAAAAATTAGCAAAAAAAGGACTATTAGGTAACTCTGCAAACTCAAAATATGAAACTGTACTAAACAAAATATGTGCAAAAGTATACAAGAGTAACTGCATATAGCAAGGTTAAGCCTGAATTAGTTTTAAAGCTTGCCCCGGTGAAACTGAATTCAAAGTTGTCCCACTGTATTTCCTTTTTTTTTTTTTTCTCTTTTTTTTTCCTTTTTTTTTTTCTTTCAACTCACATCGTAAGTCAAATAAAAACAAAATACACATGAAAAAACTTCCAAACGAAGCTGGTACTGGACAAGCACAGAGCAGGACACTCACTCAGCACGAGTGCAGCCACTCACAGAGAGTTCCAGGAGTCCTTAGAGTAGTGTAGGAATTCAACACTGCACACGACAGCACAACTCGAGCATGGTCTTGGGTGTTTTTGTCTGGGGTTTTGTGTCATTTTCCTTTTGAGACAAGCTTGCTTTGCTCAGTCCCACCTCAGAGATACCAAAGCAGTGCGAGTTTGCAATGTTTAATGCATAAAAACCAAGCCCCCCTGGGCCCTCCGGGTCGGTCTCTTCTAAGAGTAAGGACTATGGGTGAACCAACAGTCTAGAACTGTGTGTAGTTATGTGCAAAACATTCACTAGCACTCGGAATCTCAGCTCTATCTTACGGGCAGAGGAAGTGACAGATGCAGGGGAGGAGTAAATTCAGGAATCCAGCACATGATCTGACATCTACAAAATAGCCGACGGAGTTCTCAAATGGCAGGTTCTCTCCCTAGAAAGTGTATTTGAAATGATTAACAAAGTAACAAAAATGGGCAGAATCTAACTTTGGTGGAAAGTCTGAACATTTTCACATGATGCTCAACAAGCCAAAGTAAGGTACCATCTGTAGCAAAGACTAGATTTAGATTAACTGGTAAGTAGAGACAACTCTTCAAAGATCATAACTGTAAACTGCAAATCTACTTCCAAGTCTCTCACACACCGCTCAGTCCACACAGGCCACGTTCGTTTCGCTGGAAAGACTTCAGCCTGGAAACACTAGGAAAAGAAAAGTTCCTTTAATCGGGTCTTTATAGGAGGAAAGGGTTAGTTGTATTTGCAGACTGCGAGGCTGCCGGCGGCATTGCTGTACTGTGCAGAGCTTGGGGCATTGATCCTGCAATGCTCAGCCCCTGGCCCATCCTGGTGAGCGACGCCACGGGGCCCATGGCCGGGATCGGTGCCATTCCCACGGGCACGGGGGCCATGGAAGACAGAGGTATTGGCTCCATGCTCATCGGGGGCACAGCGCTGAAGGAGGGGCTGCTTCCCATCACGGGACTCGCTCTCATCTGGTTCAGGGTCAGTGGCTGAGGCTGGTTCACCTGGAAGGGGTTGATTGGAGTCGGTGCTGTAGCGGCGCCTGGGCGGGAGACAAGGGGGAGAGAGGGRGCACTGCCATCAACAGCAGCTTTGGGAAATGGTCCTTCCTGGCAAAGAGCTCTTGCTCTGCCCATCCCCACCCCCAGAACCTGTGGAGAACCTGCCATCCAGCAAACACACCCAGTCTGCTCCCTTGGAGCAGCCAATGCCTCCKACACCCCTTCACTGACCGACAGCTCCCACTTCCCACAGCCCTGACTGCAGACAGAGGCTCCAAATTCAGTTACCTGCAACAGCCCAAACCATGACATCCACAGCACTGGTTTCATTTCTTAAATGCTGCTTTGCATCAGGAAAGAAACCTGCAGGCTCTCTGTGCTCCTTTACTGCAGAGAATAGGTTTACATTGGTGTTGGGAAGAATCCTTCCCTGGGAGGATGAGGAGGCCCTGGCACAGATTCCCAGAGAAGCTGTGRCTGCCCCTGSATCCCTTAAAGTGTCCCAGGTCAGGCTGGACRGGGCTTGGAGCACCCTGGGATCCTGGAAGGTGTCCYTGCCCATGGCAGGGGTGGCACTGGATGGTTTTTAAGKTCCCTTCCAACCCAAACCGTTGTGGGATTCTCTGATTTKTATGTTTGGTCYAAGCTCTCAGCAGCCACCTCCATTTTCATGTTTCTGGCACCGAGCTCGGACAAGAATTCCCAAAGTAAACAACTTGTTTCCGAATTACAGCGGTGCTCGAAAAAGCAGAGCACAACTTTCCCAGCCTTTGAGGTTCCATGGACTGCTGCCAGTCCTACAAATTCCTTTTACCATACAAGCCCAAGATTATTTGGATGGCCCAGTGACCCCTCACAAACTTTTTGTAGTGCCCAGGAAGGGCAGATATACAGATTTCCTCTCTCCCTGCTCACTGCCAAAGCTGCTCAGAATCCCTGCCTTTTTTCCTACTCAAGGATTTTAATAAATCGATTTTTTTTCTTCCATTGGAAGAGCAAAGAAAATACACACGCAAAGAGCATTTCCAAGTGTTTTACCCTACGAGCAACACAGGAAAATGTCAGYGCAAATTTCAGCTTTTAAAAAACACATCTGCCACATGTTTGGTGCCACCATTTCAGCCTGCTCCAAGCAAGGGCTCTCTTCCACCAAGCCCAGCTTACAGCAGAACTGCAACAGCCTATTTCATTTCTCCAAAATACACTSAGAATGCGTTCTCAGATCAAAACTGGCTCACTGTGCCAGCCTAAGACACACTAACCACTGAATGACTCTGCAGTTTGCTCTCTGGAACCTCAGGCTACAGTCAGAGATCTCCTGTGCCTGCTGCAACTTCAGGAAAATGGCAATTATGGCAATTCCAACCTGCTTCCAACAGGAATCCACTACCTATAACTTTCCCAAGGTAATCTTACCTGTTCTGACAATAACCACCTTTAGCTCAGCCGTTTATACAATCCCAAGYCTTCTAGCACAGGTAATTTTGAGTGAGGGGAACTTCTGGAACCAAGTTCAGTTGCAGACCAAGTGCAGAGACTTTGTGTTTTTGGAGACTGTCACTGGGCTGGGTGAGCCCAGGATCCTCCCTAAGACCCTCCTGCTCTTGCTCATGATCTGCTGGCTCAAGTAACCAAGAAAACCAAGCTCAAATCACCCTCCTTTATCTCCAACAGCACCGAGCTATGGCAGGGTTTTCCTACAGGAAGGGAAAGCTCAAATAAAGGGTTATGCAGAAACCAACCTGGTGCCAAGAACGGGTTCAGTGAAGTAACAGGCTGTGCTGGCTTAGACACCAGGGAATCCAGGTTCACCAGGGCAGCGTTGGGGCCCAGGAAGGACTCTGGGGTTTTYCGGGCTGCGCTCTGTTTGCCTGATGTCCCACTGGAGTGCTGCGAGTCAAAGAGATCGGGACTCGTGGTACCGCTGTGCTGGGATGGCAGAGTGGAACCTGAATCAGCTGCAACAACACAAAGGGACAAACAGAACTGCTGGTTAATCCCCAGAGCCGAGCAGGGAGAGGCCCGAGGTGCGTGAGAGCAGAAATGCTTTGTTCTAGGTTTGGGTTAGTGAGGTCTCAGTGTTTCAGGCCGGGTTATACCCTCTCAGCATGCAAGCAGGTCAGTGTTCTTTAGGAGAGCAGGAAGAAGCCACAGTGAGAGTTGCAGTGCTCTACTGATGGAATTCCCACAGCTTTGCTGCTCCAGGTGGGACTCAGAGGCTCCAAGGAAAAGATACTCCAAAGCCTTGGCTTGTGCCCTCACCCTACACCACTGTTGTGCCCTTCCTAGCTGGATTCCACCCAGGGTTTCTCTGYTGGGTTCTAAAAGCCCAGCTGTGCTTCAGGCAGAACCATCCTGAGAGCAATGGTACCACAGAACTGACAGCTGAGGGTCTGGCAGTTTTGATTTACTGACCACTGACCAAAGAAAAAATAAATTTAGAGTATTCATGAAAGTATTTTCTCATCTTCCTATTGGAATATACACATTTGAGAAGTTCAGTCAGCATGGTYCTGGTTCACTCTCTCAGCTTAAGCCCTGCTCCAAACATGCTGGACACTGGAAATTAAGAAGTCCAACAAAYTTCTGGGTCAATGCAGCAAAAGATTACACAGTGCAATTCCATGGACTACAGTGCAAAAGGCCCATTCCCCACRAGTTCATGCACAGGCCAAAATGGGAACGAGGAGCTTTAATTGCTGCATCATCACTTCCTTCCCTTCATGGAAGTCGATTTTTTTGTTCAATAAAATTTAAGAATAGAGACATTTGTTGATGTGACTGTCACCCAACCTGTCCACATGCTAAGAATTTGATTCGTACCTGGCTTTTTGGAAGTTCGAAGTGTGTCAAATTCAGAAAAATCATCTTTAACTGTACCATTCAAATTACTGAAGAGGTCAAAAGATGTACTTCCTGTTCAAAACAAYAAGACAGCCCTGTCATTAACACATCTTCGGTTGCAGCACACACCTGATCCTCCTGGAAACAATTCCTAACCCRTTCCTGTTGCCAAGAAGCCACGACAGGTTCCAGGGCAGCAGCTGGGAGTGCTCCTGCTCTTAGCCAGGAGCTGAAGGAGGAGAATGTCACACAACTGTCCTTTCTGACAGCATGGCACAACTAAATCAGAGCAATTTGYTTTGAGATGGGTGTAGGGCACACCTGAGCATGCTGGGGTTTGGTTGATCGAGTGTCTGCACTAGAGACAAGCAGATCTTGCTGTGGAAGGAGAGAATAGAAATGGATTCAAGCCTCAACTACTGAGTGTTAATCAGCCCTCAATTAAAACACCATCAGTGATGATTTCACTTCTGCTCCCCAAGTGGAAAGGAGGAATGCCATAGCAGAGGTTGTGGAGATGGTAAAGGCCCGTTAGCTGAAGCACCAGCGCTTGCCCAGTTTGCAATCAATAAAACACCACCATCCCAAAATGTGGACACGCTCTTACCTCAGATTGGAGGCATAAAAACCACACCTAAATGATCAGCGATCACACTCCTGAACAGCTTTAAAGTTTGTGGTTTTTTTTTTTTAATTAGCAAAATGTTTTTCTAATTTACTTTTAACCTTCAACACATTTCAAGCCAACAGAGAACAGGATGACAAACCCAGGGAGAAGGAGTGAAAAWTTGGTATAAAAACAATACTTCTCAAGAACAAAGAGCCACCAGAGTTAAAGACTCATTTCACAATGATCCAGCTACTGCCCTTTGCCCAGGGAAAAGCTGCTTAGACAACTTTTTGCAGCATTCAGATTCCTTTGTCTGCTGTGTACTGGGATGAATGACGAGCAGAAAATGCATTTTGATGCTTTTAGCCACGSTGCCAATATGAAAATGCCAGGTATTAACACTCATCAAGGTTGCATTAGTTACAGAGCAGGAACAGACAATTACAGCAGCACCTTCTGGATCATTACCAGGGCTCAGGGAGGGCTTTCACACCCTCCGTCTGAAGGAACAAACCTTCATTTGCACCTCTGAAAGTCTCCTCCGAGCTGGGAGCTGCTCAACCTGTCAATCTACATCTGCAGAGACATCCATCTGCAGAGCTATTCATCACGAGGAAAGGTTAAATTAGAGTATCATTCATTGCCAGAAATTAAGTCCTTGTCTAATTAAAGRTAAAACCCAAGAGCAGCAGCAGTCCCAAATGCTCAGCAGGCAGCCACAAATACCAGGAGGAGACACAGAAGGGACAGAGCACGAAGCAGCACCACAAATTCAGAGCCCTAAGCCAGAATAATTACATTCAAATTTCTTTTTCCTGCTGGTTATTACAACTCCTTTTTACTTTGCAGACCAGTTCTGCCAATTGTTCAGCTTCTTTGAACCACACAATGCAATAAAATCACTTGGACTTCTCCTCATTACTCAAATAAGATGGATATGGGATGAGACCGTTGCTCACCGGAAGTAGAGAGAGGTTTGTTTGCGGGTGCTGATCCCCAGGGATCCACAGAAGATTTTGCTGCAGTAGAAGATGGCTGAGCAGGAGCCCAAGGGTCCACGTTTTTGGACAGAGGCTGAGCTGTGGATCCTGCTGGTGCTGCCCAAGGGTCAACGGAAGCAGCTGGTTTGGCACCTGCAAGGGGAATCAGGGAAGAGCAGTCAGTCCAGCTTCCCTTGGGGATAAACCCTCTCAGGAGCCTTCAGTCCCAGTTAAAACTGGGAGCAGCAGTTCAGCACCAGGACACAGATAACCCTCAACATCTGTGCCACACACTCTAAATAACAACAGGCACCAGGAAATTGTGGGCAAGGCAGAGGAATAAACAATTCYCCTCCCTGAACCTGAATACAAATATCTGCAGCTCCAGCAATAAAATAATCTTGCCTTTATTACTGACATTGCCACCACCAGTGACAATCCCTGRCTGGAGGTGACCTAAATCACAGGGTCTATTTATGAACTCAGGGGAGAGTGAGTTTATAAAAAGCCCAAAGGTAAAAGGTATGAGATGCACAACATTAACCCTCGGACCAAGGAATCTGTAAGATTTAGAGGGAATGTTTTCCAACTCTTTTAACCACACTGCTATTTTATAAAAATACAATCAGCTTCCCTGAGCCAGCTGTGCTTTTTTATTCCCATTTCTAAGCACTTCTGACACACATCTAAGCTGCTCACTGATACCCCCTTATTTTTTAACCCAAAGCCTCTGTGTTCAGGGTTCTCATTTTTACTGGAAGATGCTGACAACTGTTCATTCCTACAAATTCAATAATCAATGATTCAATTCCTACATGAGAACTGCATAACCCAAGAGCAGGACAGAATCACGCACATGTCACAACTCTCACCTTTAACATCCTGCGGGTTTCAAGTTACAACTGAGAATTATTTTAGCTTTKAAGACTCCATTCAACCCTCCTGGCATTCCAATATTCCTGTAAACCGAGTGCTGCACACAGTGGCACAAATTCCAATGGGAATTTTGGGTTTTGTTTCATCAGAAGGCACGTGRTCGCTACAGCTCCGGAGCAGGAAATGCCAGAACTCTCCAAGGAAGCCCCACTATTCCCACACCAGTACTTCCAGTTCCCTTATCTGCCCCCAGTGCTGAGTTATGAGCAATGCCACACTAATGACAGCATTTCCCAYCAACAGCATTTCCCAAAATGTCCTTTTTTTCCTGAAGGGAGCATCCAATGCGAGAGTGCTCAGAAGATCCCTTCCCAGAGCTTCCAGCAGCTCCACTGAGAAACTCCTTGGACAAGCTGGGGCTGATGCAGATATCAGCCCATCACACAGATAGCAACACACACACAGAAAACCACACAAAAACTGGGCTCAGCTGCTCTTTAAATGTGAAACACTGCGTCTTTCACTTCAGAAATATTTCAGGAATTTAGCATCAAAAGCCTATGGAAGAGTGAATATTTAAAATGGCAACTTTGACTTTTTTGTTTACTAAAAAAATTTCCATTTAAATCATTTAATTCACTTGGTTTTGACCATACACAAACACATCATAATTCTCTAGGAGCAATTAAGGACATGATATTTCAGGTCTACGGCCTTCATAAGCTCAGCACTCTGCCTAARTATCAGATTAAATTCTGAGAAGAGTCTAAACCCATGGCACTGGACACAACCAGCAGTGAACCATGAGCATCCTCCCTCTGTGAGACACGTCGGTTTTGCTGTAAAGACAACAAAAGTGCCACTCCCCTCTGTCCTGAGAYTCAAACTGCACACACAAAACTCAACTGCTTAAAAAGAATRCASCTTCCACTGGCTTCTGCTTGGGAAYGAGTTGGGGAATGTCAGTAGGACAAATCAAAATGGGCTAACACGAGCTGATAGTGCACACGGAGGAACTCTGAAAAGCTCAACGTTCCAAAGCAAAACSTTGGAAATCCCATTGCTGCTGGTGGTTTTCTCTTACCAAATGATTGCCAGGGGTCAGAGGCAGGAGCTGCAGCTGTGGATCCTCCCCAGGGATCCGTTTGGTTCGAGGCTGGGACAGCAGGAGGTCCCCAAGGCTCCGTTTTGGGTGGGGCCGGTGCCGAGGAGGGCAGGGCATCCATCAGGTCCAACAAAGTGGTGTGCTGAGGGCAGGAAGAAGCTGAGCTTTACTCAAGAGCATTGTCAGGCAGAAGCACAAACCCGTGAGAGTGAAGAAGCAATWATTATTTTATTTTTTTTTCCTTTTACACGCCTGCATTGACTAGTAGTTCCAAATATAACCCACATGGAAGAAGCTTTAAGCTATACAACAAAGCAAACCCAAAAGCATAAAAGAGCTCAGTATTAAGCCAGTTTGTGTTACTGTATCTCAGCTTTTGGCAGCATAACCAGGAATTTCTTAGGCGAAGGCACTACCTCCTTCTTTTTGGGAATTTTAATTGTGTCTCTGCGACTCTCCTCCAGAGCCATCTGTAATCTCAGATCATCTCCGCGTCTGAGGCGCTCCTCCTGCAAAGGAAATCAACACTGGTGATATAGACCATGAGCCTGCACTGAGCTGCTGCTCCCTCCGGGGCTCCAACCCTTCAGGGCAGGCCTGGGCAGCCCTCCCTGCCACCCTGTGCACCACAGGGGGATGATTKGGGCTGCAATTTCGACACAACACAAATGAGGGGTAGGAGTTTTCCTGGGATTCTTGCCTGGAGCAGAGGGCAGGAGCACCCCRATCACAACAACATCCAGTTTGCTGATTGGAATTTATCCTGGTGGTGTTCTATTCCTAATGAAACATTCTTTCAAAAATTCAATTAGAAACACCACAGAATTTCAAGCGAACAGCCCATTTTAAAATTATCMGAATGGTTTTTCTGCATTTAAATCACCACTGAAGATTGTAAGGAACTAAACTTAAATTTCCCTGGCTTTTGTTCACTTCCCTCCACACTGGTGCAAGATCCACCAAGGGATCAAGCCTTGCCAACTCTGTGTGTAMTTTGAAGGTTTAAACATCTGTAACTACACTGTTTGTACCACACTGAACTGCTTTAAATATCTTTGTTTGCATCATGTCTCTCAGAAGTTGACTAATTCCCCAGCTGGTATTTCCCTTGTCATTTTYGAAGCTGCTTCAATTGCTTCGATTCTGATTTATATTTTCATTCCCTTTATTGCCCAATAATGATAAAGTTTACTGGGTGACAGTTTCCCTTTCCAAGCACTCATGCTTAACATGCAGCTGTAAACTAAATTGTCACAGGAAGCCTCTAAAATATTACAGGCACTCAGCATGGCTGATTGGAAATTGCACTCAGAGCTGAGATTCAACTTTGTTATACATTAAAATGCAGTAATTTTATCCACATTTACTTCAAATTCAAAATGAAGCTCCAAAGAATTAGCACAGTAACATAACCCAGGTGATAGATTAGGAGTCAATTTGCTTTAAACCAAGTTTTYAATATATTCTGCTACTTTGTGGCAGGTCACCCTCCTGTTCCAAACACTCCCACCAAACGAACAAACCATTCCAAATTCCACTGGAATCACAATTCACTGACATTAAGRAAGGTTTTCAGGACCAGTCATGTTTTCAGCTCTTCCTAACTGAAAACATCTTCAGTAATGTGATGATTAACATCCTCCCCCACAAAGTCTTCTCACAAAGTGACTGTCATCTTCCACTAGTCTCAACAGCTCGGAGGCTGAAGTTACTTTAAAAAAAGAGATTTAAAGAAT